AAATTATTCACGAATAAATTTTCATACATGTAACAAAACAAATATTTCACAAGCATCTTCTCAGTTGAAGTTGCATGCTGACTTTTAGTAAAAGAAGCGAAAATTTGGTGAATACAATTATGACATGTGATCAGTCTGCTCTAGGTCCATCCTCTAAATCGTTGAAGTAATGTTTTATAAGAAATTCATATAACTGCTGCAACATCAGGGTTAAAAAGTAATCAAATTTAGTCACACATAAATTAAATTCGCATTCGTCGTTTAATTTAGTTAAGATTTTTTAAAACGGCGCAATCTAAATATTTATATACCCGGTACATACAGTTAGAAGCTTAAAGCAATATGAGCTGCATTTTTGAGAACTTTATTTTTCTTGTAAAATGTGTTATTATGATTAATCTGTATGTAATCTAAACCCTTATGATCAAAAAGTCCAAAATAAAGTTTTAAAATGTTTCAGAAGAAATATTTCTGTACAACCAAAAATACACTATTATATATGAAACCATTAATGTACAGGGACGACAATAATTCAATTTTTGGTTCAATCAAAGCTATAAAAGTTTTTTCATAGCAAATATGAAAAACAGAAAAACATGAAAAACAGAAGTTTATAAAAGTTCTATTTCCCTATCATTGTAATAGTAAATTACAAATTTGAAATATTTTTTTCCGATGTCAAACATGCAGCTCATATTGCTTTAATTGTATTTTGAAATTAATACAAATTTATATATTACAGGACCTCAAGATGCTGCAAGGGGGGGGGGGGTTTAATGACAAATGCTTAAATGTTCTAGCAGCTGGACATTTTATAAATATTAAAATGATACCGGAAACTCCACTTTCAATATAATCCATGAAAGCTTTGTGAAACGCTTTATTAAACACGGAGCAGAAATATAATCTGGTTTGAAGTTCACATATGCGATGTCAGGGAAACCAAAACTACCTCGGTAACATGTCTGTGATGTCTTCATCTCAGTTCTTGCAACTTCCAACATCGAATTCCTGGAAGGGTTTGATTAAATAATCCTTAATACTTAAGAAATGTGGCAATTCCGTTGTGTGGTATCGAAAAATATTAAAACTATAAAACGAAAAAATTATAGTGGAAATTTTCGAAAGTAAAAACTCCCTCACTAGAATCGTAAGTCCGTGCTCAGTGTTCTGTTTAATAAATTGAATACACCCCGAGAAACATAAACTATTTTTGTAAACAGAGCATTCATTAATATAAAACAAAATTGCCACTTTTAGTATGATGAATAAATTAATGATTCTGAAAGTGCAAGTACGTGTCAATCAAACCAGACAAGAAATGGAAGTTTCAATGACTTCGAGATGATAAAAAAAATATTTACTATATTTTCGTGTGAAATGTTTTTGCAATATATAAGTCGTGATATTACCGGTATACAGAAAATTTTAGAAAATATTAATTTCAAATGTGTGTCTACGCACCTTTAATGAAAATTTAAAGTAAAGTGCAAGTCAAGTGGATCAAGTAGCTTTTTCAAATTCAAATACAATCTTACCTAAAAAGGCAAAGAGAAATAATTCCAATTAAAGCTGAAATATGTTTATTGTAGAGTCAGTAGATAGAAAGTGAATTTGCTAAATTTTAAATCTATTTGGAGACTCTTCTTTGGATTTGAACTCTGTATCAATCAGGATGCTTGTTGCAAAAATTATTACAGGTAAGCAATCACTTTCAAAGTATACTTTGATCTAGGTCGAATGCTATCTCTTGATTAAGGATGCTTTCATATTTCTTTGATAAATTATGGCTTTATCATATTTTTTTTCAGTATTTTTTTAAAAATATAAATTTGATTTGCTATTGTAGGGCCCAAATTTCTCAGTACTAATGAAGAATGAACTCCTTAGGTTTGTCTACCTAAAGGAACCGAAAACATCTCGACGCCAATGGTATACAACAAATTTATTCATTAAAAAATTAAATTAGTTGGTTTTTTTTTATTATTTATTCATATTTATTCATTTGTTCACTTATTTATATTTTATCCGCCCAAAAGTGTTCTTTGATGAAAAGTTAATTTGCTTGAGGTAAGCAACCATTTCTGAAAAGGGATAATTCCAACAGGTTGCATCAATCCAGCCGTTAATATATTCAAAGAAATTTGATATAAATCAGCTTGTTCATTCCTGTTTTCTGAACTTGCTTAAGGTGCTGTATTTGTGGCTAAATGTTACGTTGCAGGTATTTTCCCCCATCAGGACTTGATTTTTAAATATTTTAATTGAGTATCTATATCTTCATGTACAGAACCAGTAGTTTCAACAAATGTTTCATCTAAAACATATATAAAGATGGCAAATCTCAACTCAAACCAACATTGCTTTCACTTTAAAATAGATCTTGATAATGCAATTTGTTGCGAAAATTTTAAGTACTGCTAACACCAACATTTCCTTAAATCGAAGAATAAATTTTTAACCATGTTACCGGTATATGATATGAGAATTGGAACATTGCAAACACTCGAAAAATTAAATTTTGACAAGAGAAAAAAGTGGGGTTAGAAATTCTGCCAAATGCAATGTTGACTTCACTTGAAAAATTAAATCTTGAAATGAAATAAGAGTCGATGATTAGAAGTACAGCTGAAACCAACATTGACTTCACTTGAAGAATTAAATCTTGACCAGAAAAAAGATGCCAGCATTCCCTCAATGCCTCACATTGAGATAAGAACTAATGTTAAAAATTGTGAAATCAAAAGACTACGCAAACACTTAGTACTACTGGCCATAACATGTCACTTCCTCATCACATTCTTTTACTTCATGAACAGTACCATTAGATTCATCAAATGTCATCTAAAACATGTGTAAAGATGGCAAATTTAAACTCAAGACATCGGGCCGGGAGAAATTGAAGTCCACTACCCCGGGGTCGGAAATTATGTGGGAGGGGTACTAGGTGTGATAGTACCATCTTTAGTCTCCGAGATATAGCCCTCAGTTTTTAGCCCTACTATATAATACTATACGAATAAACATCGGGCTGGGGGACATCGAGGTTCCCTACCCGATTGTCTGAAATTTTGTGGGTTGGGTAATATGAATCAGTTTCCACTTCTTCCTGTCCCAGTGGTTCTTGAGAAGATTTTTAAATATTTTTCCTATAAATTCCAATGTAAAACTTTGATCGACCATTGTGGCGCAACCCTTGCAGCGGGGGTCATGATTTGAACAAACTTGAATCTACATTACCTGAGAATGATTCCACATGAGTTTCATCTTTCCTGGCCTAGTGGTTCTAGAGAAGATTTTTTTTTTAGAATTGCCATTAACTTTTTATTTATTCATAACTATCTCCCCTTGGAAACGGCGTAACCCTTCATTTGATCAAACTTTGAATCCCCTTTACCCAAGGATACTTTGTAGCAAGTTTGGCTGAAATTGGTCCAGCGGTTCTTGAGAAGAAGATGAACATGTGAAAAGTTAACAACAGCGACGACGACAACGACGACATACAACGGACAAATTTTCATCAGAAAAGCTCACTTGAGTCTTCAGCTCAGGTGAGCTAAAAATACTAGTACTTCAATAGATAATAAATACAAAGTTATCTTGCAAACATTGTCCGTGTTTGCTTTACTCCTGATTTTTATTCTTTGAATGGACTTTGAAGCTCGATTACTTTTCATTATTTCCATATAATACATTGTCGTTGGTTTGAAGAAAAATAGTTTTAATTAAAACCTCTGTTATTTTTATTAAATTTCTTCCATTATATTAATGATATATATATATATATATATTTTTTAAAATTTAATATAAGTAAGAAGTATTTAAGAATTCCATACAATTAACACGTTCATGTACTATGCGTTTTTCAAAGCGGGATAAGTCTTGTAATGCGAAGGAAAAGACAGCAAAATAATTAAGTTTTTCTCCATTATTTAGTTATTTGAGTTAGAAAAATACAATAATTAGTTAATTTTTATTTGAAATCGAATTCATTTAGAGTTTTTTTTGGTTAAATACTAATAAATTACAAAAAAAAGTAATACCTATTTGATTCGCCGTAAATTTCCCAGATAAGTGCGGATTTTCTGCAAATATATATACATGACCAGAAAAGCGAGGTAACTCCGTTTAAAGAACTAGATGATAACATTTTTGTTAAAACCATCACAAATCTTTAAAATGATTGGCGAACCAGTTTAATTTAATTATAATTGATTTAATACGTGCAGACAAAGAGAAGAATTTATTCCTGAAGTTTTAAGTCAATCTCTATTGTTGACCTACTTCTCGTCTTAAAAATTTAATAAGACGCTACTAGTAATTTCCCTTTCTTAAATATATACATTTTTTCTCACCCAGTTAAGTACTCGTAGAATTAACCGGGATGTATATATGGACCTTTTTGGCAATTTCTAAAAATAATTGGTTATTTTCATTTTTTTTCAATATGTACACCAGCGACTACATATGACATTACCAATTAATGCCTATGATGTACATTGAACAATTAATTTTATTCAGAAATCGTACTTTTGTCAAACTCCCAGTTAAGTATGGTGTTTATCCAGACTCCCAGTTAACGGCGGATTTTCGGTTATATATATATATATATATATATATATATATTACTAATTATCAATACCAATTCAAGGCTCCATTTCAAAAGATTGGAATGTTTTTCTTTTTGCAGAAAAATTTTTTTTAGTACATGTACCATTTTGTATTTTTATGAGACAACTTTACCTTACGTGAAAATAATACCAAGATTCATATTAACATTAATTTGGTTATATTATGTCGTAGGACCTATATGATAGTATCTAATAATACAAAAAAAAAAAACACGACCCCAGGTAGGGTAGGGCCAGAGCAAGTATTACAAAGGGGGGCATTTGGTTAAAAAAAAACAGCATAACCATAGTTACACAGGTAAACGATGTGGCCTCTGGGCTTCCTGATAGCCTCTAGATAAAAACCTTGAAAAAGCATAACAATTGATTTGTTTGTCATATTTACAGAAAGAAGAGGCAGATTTTACATCCAGTTCAGAAGGTCATCCTGTGATTTTAAACTACAGTGTAAATGAAAAAGAATTTGGGAATTTCGAACAATCAATAAATGCGTGTGAAAGTAAGAGGCCCAGTGAATGTAACGTATGTATGAAAACATTTAATCATCGACATGAGGTACGAAGACACCTGAGTATACATACGGATGATAAACCTCATAAATGTGACGTGTGTGGAAAGGCATTCAAATACCCAAGTGACATACAGAAACACATAAGAACACATACAGGTGATAAACCTTATAGATGTGATGTGTGTGGAAAGGCTTTCAACCAGCCACAGACCTTAAAGAGACACCTTAGGACACATACAAATAAACCTTATAAATGTGATGTGTGTGGAAAGACATTTGAATGGCAATGTGACTTACAGATACACTTAAGGACACATACAGAAGATAAACCTTATAAATGTGATGTGTGTGGAAAGGCATTCAAATACCCAAGTGACATACAGAAACACATAAGAACACATACAGGTGATAAACCTTATAGATGTGATGTGTGTGGAAAGGCTTTCAACCAGCCACAGACCTTAAAGAGACACCTTAGGACACATACAAATAAACCTTATAAATGTGATGTGTGTGGAAAGACATTTGAATGGCAATGTGAATTACAAATACACTTAAGGACACATACAGAAGATAAACCTTATAAATGTGATGTGTGTGAAAAGGCATTCAAAAGGAAAAGTGGCTTAAAGAGACACATGATGATACATACTGGTGATAAACCTTATAGATGTGGTGTTTGTGGGAAAGCATTCAACAGACTGCATATCTTACATACACACATGTGGAGACATACAGGTGATAAACCTTATAAATGTGATGTGTGTGGGAAGGCATTCAATTTCTCAGAAAGCTTACAGAGGCACATGAGGAAACATACAGGTGAAAAACCTTATAATTGTGATGTATGTGGGAAGGCATTCAACAGATTATATATCTTACAGACACACACAAGGACACATACAGGTGATAAACCTTATAAATGTGATGTGTGTGGGAAGGCATTCTCTCAGTCAAGTACCTTAAATAGGCACACGACAACACATACAGGTGATAAACCATATATATGTAATGTATGTGGGAAGGCATTTAACCTCTCACAAATCTTACAGAGGCACATGAGGATACATACTGGTGAAAAACCTTTTAAATGTGATGTGTGTGGGAAGGCATTCCCTCACTCTTATACCGTACAGATACATATGAGGACACATTCCGGTCATAAGCCTTATAAATGTGATTTGTGTGGGAGAGCATTCAGCCAGACGACACACGTACAGAGTCATATGAAGACACATATAGGTGATAAACATTATAGATGTGATGTGTGTGAGAAGACATTCTGTCAGTCACAATATTTTAAGAGACACATGAGCACACATAAAGGTCAAAAACCTTATAAATGTTATGTATGTCGGAAGGCTTTTCGTTACATAAAGAACTTCAAGAGGCATATGAGGACACATAGATGATAAATCTGATGTATGTGATGTATGTGGAAAGGAATTCAATTGTTCAAAAAACTTCAAAAGACATTGTAGGATACATAGTGGTGACAAACCTTACATATGTGGTTTGTGTAAGAAAACATTCTGTGAAAAACCTGATTTAAACAAACACATGAGGACACATTCAGATGAGAACTATTTGATGTTATGTGAAAAGGCATTCAAGCAATAAGATAACTTACATTCATATGTCTAGGAATATTGAATTCTCTCCCCTGATTCTAAAAGAATAAGAAATGTCAAAGAATTCATTACTGATTGCCAAAATAGGTACAAGGGTTCTAAATACAAAATAAAGATATCGTCTTTTGAGATGAAGTTCGTATTGTAATACTGTCATTTTGTACTCCGTCTAATACAACACATGGTGTGTAAAATTTGTTATATCCCATTATCAATTTTGTGTAATAAAACTTTCATCAGTTGATGGTTGTACTGGAGTGAGCTTCTGAGAAGAGTCCGAGGTTAACCAAGTGGAAAGTGTTAAACAATAAAATGCTTTCTTTGTTTGTTGTTACTGGAATGAACGGAAGCAGCTGTTGCAGAAAAAATACATAACCCGCGTAAGCGGGTTATGTAAATTTTTTCTTTGCGACCGTTCATTCCAGTAGCAACAAACAAAGAAAGACATTTTATTGTTTATATTTATATCTGTTTAAATTATCATTTTAAGTAGGAATGAAAATATTAATTATTGTGTTAATGATGCGAACGTCTTGTACGTTTCATTGATGGAACAGCCACTGATCAAGAAATCTGTACAGGTGATATGCCTAATGTAGTTTATGCAGGGATGAACGCAATGGGTTTTCTTAAGAAATGAAGAATATATTCAGTGGATGTAAATATTTAATAAACAGGTCTGGTTGTCAAATGGAAATTTTTTCATCTTAAGATAACATTAAATTTTGAATTTCCCGCTTGGAATCCAAGTGGTATCATCGTTTGACGTCATTGATATAATAGAAGGAGATCTAAGTGCGTTAATTTTTAGCTCTACTGGTCAGAGACCAGAAGAGCTTATGCGATAGGAAGGTGTCCGTCCGTCCGTCAGTCTGTCCGTCTGTCTGTAAACAATTTTTCAAAACGCTACTCTAGCTACAGTTTTGGTCTGATTTTAATATAATTTAGCACACAAGTAGACTGCATTCTCTCCCCTGATTCTAAAGGAATAAGGAATGTCAAAGAATTCATTACTGAGAATGCCAAAATAGGTACAAGGGTTCTAAATACAAAATAAAGATATCGTCTTTTGAGATGAAGTTCGTATTGTAATACTGTCATTTTGTACTCCGTCTAATACAACACACGGTGTGTAAAATTTGTAATATCCCATTATCAATTTTGTGTAATAAAACTTTCATCAGTTGATGGTTGTACTGGAGTGAGCTTCTGAGAAGAGTCCGAGGTTAACCAAGCGGAAAGTGTTAATAAACAGGTCTGGTTGTCCAATGGAAATATTTTCATCTTAAGATAACATAAAAATTTTGAATTTCCCGCTTGGAATCCAAGTGGTATGCCCGTTTGATGTCACTGATATAATAGAAGGAGATCCAAGTGCGTTAATTTTTTTGTCTGAGTAATCAGATTTAAATCTGGAACCCAATTTTTTTGTTACTCAGATTTAAATCTGGAACCCAATTTTTTTGTTCCGGCACGGTGATAGATGTCATTTTGGAATAATTGGTTTCGCTCCAAATAAGATAGTCGTCATTCTATTTAACATCGAACCAGGCTGTGAAAGAAATGTACTGCAAATGTTCATCTACCTCATGAATCGTGTTTAACCTCTTTAGAACGCTCACATGAACATTCATTGTTATTAGGGCCCCGCAAGGATTTGCGGGTGCCCTATAGTAATCACTCTGTCCGTCCGTCCGTCCGTCCGTCTGTCTAGCTTCTGTCTGTCCGTCTGTCACTCTTCCGTCCACAAATTTTCTGTTCTTTTCGAATAACTTTTTTTATGGTTGCCCAATCAAGTTTGAATTTGGTATGGTAGTTCAATAGGCAGAAATACATGTTTTGATGCTAAGTTTAATTCTCTATGTCTTCTAGTTTGGAGCTGGGGTGGTGGGGTAGATTCCTTAACTATGGCATAAGAATGAACTGGCAACTTTTTTTATGGTTGCCCAATTAAGATCAAATTTGGTACGGTAGTTCAGTAGGCAAAAATACATATTTTGATGCTTAGTTTGGTTCTCAATGTCCCTTGGTTTGGAGCTAGGGTGGTGGGGTAGATTCCTTAACTTTATATAAGAATGCATTGGCAAAGAGAGATAACTGCTGAAGATGTTCCCATTCAGTAAACTGAATGCTGCTAGGAGTCCCATGGGATTAATAAGCTTTCCTCCTGAAGAAAATCCAGAGCATTATCTTTATCTGTCACATTGAGATGAATTAATTACCACCTCTGTCTGCAAATGAAGTTTGTTTTGAAGTTAAGTCAATTTGGAATGCTATGAACACTCGGAAATGTGGATTTAGATA